GGATTCACTGAGACAAAAGGAATAACTTGCATAGCAGATGCAGAGTAAATGGTTGTTAAATGTTTTGAATGGACATAGTCACTAAAGAGTGATTGTTTTTTTTTAGTGCACACTCCTGTGCTTTGGGCATCTTGCCCACTGTTGCTGTTGCCAGTTGGAGAACACCTGTAATCACTAACCAGTAGTATCATTGACCTCTGGAGTCCTCTGCTCATTGTTTCACAGAGCTGGACTTTACTTCAGATGGTAATTTCACTTTCCTCGTATGCTACTGAAAATGGTAGTTAGTGGCTTGTTCTCATAGTTCTTTTGTCTTAGATGTCTCTGTGGTAGCACCATCCCATTGAAGAACACTTATCTATTTCATACACTTGTTTTCTTGTTAAGTTGTAAATCCCGCTGTTAAGTCACTTGTTCCTCCTTACTGGATTGATATGGTATCTTGCCTTTTTTGGTCAACACTTTCTTATTCCTGAAACAGTCCTCTAATGCTCTCTTCTATTAGTCACAGTTTCTATTTTATTGCCATCCTAATTTTGTCCACTTTAATCCTTTAAACCACAGGTCAGCAAATTATTTTCTGTAAACAGCCAGATGGTAAATATTTTAGGCTTTGCAGGTCACTTGCAGTCTCTGTCACATATTCTTCTATTTTTTTCTCCCCAACCCTTTAAAAATATATAACCATTCTTAGCTCATGGGTTTACATAAACAGGCCTCTGGCTGGATTGGCCCATGGCTGTAGGTTGCCAGTCCCTGCTTTAAACCATCCATCAATAATTTTTATATATATTATAAAGTAACAGCAAATAGTGCCTTTATTCTAGGTTGAACTGTACTTTTCCTCCCCTTATTAGTTTCTTATCCCTTTTCTTTCTTGTTACTTCTCTGTTGTCTTCACCTTTGTGTTTTCTATCCCTGTTCTCCATTAATCACTTCTACAGATAAGAAATCTGTTTCGATTAATGAAGCCTTTAGCTTTAGTCCTTCCCTTATTGACTTTAAGGAAACCCTGATGTCACAGTGGTTAAGCGCTCGACTGCAAACTGAAAGGTCAGCAGTTTGAACCCACCAGCCACTTTGTGGGAGAAAGATATGGCAATTTGCTTCTGTAAAAATTTACAGCCTATGTGGGAACCATGGTCTCAGGGAACATCTAGCTCAATTGGCATAACACAGTTTATAAAGACAATGTTCTACATTCTACCTTGATGAGTAGTGTCTGGGTCTTAAAAGCCTGTGAGCAGCCATCTAAGATACTCCACTGGTCTCACCCCTTCGGGAGCAAGGGAGAATGAAGAAGACAAGACACAAGGAAAAGATTAGTCCAAAGGACTAATGGACCACGGCTACCATGGCTTCTACCAGACTGAGTCCAGTACAGCGAGATGGTGCCTGGCTACCACCACTGACTGACTGCTCTGACCAGGATCTGGACAGAGCTGGAAAAGGATGTAGAACAAAATTCTAACTCACCAAAAAGAGGCCAGATTTACTGGCCTGACAGACTGGAGAAACTCCGAGAGTGTGGCTGCTGGACATCCTTTTAGCTCAGTGGTGAAGTCACTCCCGAAGTTCACCGTTCAGCTGGGGATTGGACAGCCCCATAAAACAAAACAGGACTAATGAGGCACAGCAGTCCAGGGACAAGGACTAGAGGGCAGAAGGGGACAGGAAAGCTGGTGATAGGGAACCCAAGGTTGAGAAGGGACAGTGTTGACATGTTGTGGGGTTGTTAACCACTGTCATAGGGCAATATGTGCACTGACTGTTTAATGAGAAACTATTTGTTCTGCAAACCTTCATCTAAGGTACAAAAAAAAAAAATACTATCTATGTGAGATCAAATTGACAACAGCAACTCAAAAGGTTTGATGGGAAGCCTAGGGGGCAGTGAGTTGAAGATAATGGTGATGGAATAATTTGGAAAAGGATAGTGAGAATAGCAGCACAACTGGAAGAATGTGATCAATGTCACTGAATTGTACATGTAGAAATTTTTGAAGTGGTGTAACTTTGGCTATGTATATTTTCACCCAAAAAAAGGTCCTCCAAGGTTAAGAAGGGAGAGTGTTGACATGTTGTGGGGTCGTTAGCCAATGTCATAAAACAATATGTGTACTGACTGTTCAGTGAGAAACTATTTGTTCTGTAAACCTGCATCTAAAGTACAATTAAAAAAAAAAAAGATTTACAGCCTACAACCCTATGGGGCAGTTCTGTTCTGTCCTACAGGGTTGCTATGGCTATCTACTTGACGGTAGTGGATTTAGTTACTTTATTCATATCATTTAAAAACTTTCCCCATCCCTTACGGGAATATAGAAAGGAAAGGGAAACTCTTTCTTGGATCATCCTTTTTATCACCTTTCTCTCATTTTCCTTGTCCAATAGGAATTTACCAGAAAAATCTGTCAACTTTACCAGATTTCTTTTTGACGTTAATTTTGTCTTTTCCCTTGCCTGATTAGAAAGGGTCTCCTCCTCTATTCTGCTAGCTTCTTTTTCATATTACACCACTCCTCACTTAGCAACATTGTTAGGTTCCAAAGACCAGGTTATTATGTGAAAATTGGCATTATATGAAAATGGAGATGACCACATCAGATCACAAAATGGAGGTTGACTACATTATTACATAACTACCAAATTGTATCATTACATTACTGCTAAATTACTTCATTACATAATTGCCAAACCACTGAGACTCATGGTACAGCCAAGTTAACACATAACCTTAACCATCATAGCCAGTGTTTCTCTTGCCTCACACCTTGATGTTCATTACTGCTAGATGTACGTCGTTAATGTGCAAAATAGTCAGATAGTCGATTTTTTACTATTGTCATAAATGTGAGATGTTGGATAAAGAGATAGTCGATAAAGGAGGAGCATAGGTGTGCGTCACAGCAGCATTCCCATAACCATAATCCTTTTTCTCAAATAATGTTTTTATTGTATCACTCCTTAAACCAGAAAAACCAAACCCATTACCATCAAGTCGGTTCTGCCTTATGGTGACCCTGTGTGTTAGAGAGTAGAAATATTTTTTATGGAAATGAGCATGGCCTGTCTAAAATACATATCAGGCTATATTTATTTGAGCTAAAAATGTGAAAATATGAAACCAGTAGTACATGTATAATATATCAAGACTTTATAGAGAGAAGCTGAAACAATGTTCCTTAACAGAAAAAATGGATTGAATCTTAGCCCATTTCCAGGGGCAATATCTTGGGAGTTTTTATGTAGACTTTGCATCATATTGTAGGACTTCAAAAAGTTTGTTAAAAGGACGTTATTATTGTATAATTTGTTTTTGCTTTATTTTGAGCCCTGAGGAGAAGAAACTGGGAAAGCAGAAAAAATTGAAGCGAAATGAGTCCTTTCCTTGATAAATTGTGTGCTATAGTTTAGGTAATTTCCTATGACCTGCCTTCTGGTTCACTAATTCTCTTTTGGCTTATCTAATCTGCTGTTAAATCTGTTTATTGGATTTTTTGTTCTTACTAATATTTATTTATAGAAGATGTTTGTCTCATTTTTTAATCTTGTCGCTCTTTGCTGATGGTGTTTTTTCTTGTTTGTTGTGAGTGTGCATACGTGTGTATTTACATATGAGAGCCTGTGAGCTGCTTACTTTTCTCAGAATTTTATCTGTGGAAAATCTTCGATGTCTAGTATAAAGTTGGGTTCTCCAGAGAAGATTCCATTTACTTCTGTCAGTTGTCTAGGGGCGCTTCCAGTCCTTGACTGCTTTAAACAAAATTTTGGGCTTGAGGTTTTTCCGAACAACCAGGTAGTATTTTCACTTGCAATTATACATATGAGGGCTAGCTTGTAGTTATGAATTCTCAGGGGAGATGTTTTTCTTCCCCCTCTTCAGTGCCATGACTTGAGGCAGGCTTTTTTTTTTTCCTCTCCCTTCTCCAACAGTTCCCTTGGAAAATGACAGTGCATTTCTAGTTTACCCCCATGTGGAGAGTTTTACCTTAGTCGAGGTCCTAGTTTTATGAGGGCGTTTCCAGACTCTCAACTTTAGGTGTGCCAATGTTCTTTGTTTCCTGTTCCGAGAAGCTTGCAAAGCCAAAAGAGTTGATAATTGATTTTACACAGTTTGTCAAATGTTTTCAAAGTGAAAGTCTGCTTTAGTGAGCTTGGCTGACTTTTCTTCTGTTCCTGTCTTCATATAATTTTTGGCCTGAATATTCCTTGCTTTCTTGCCAACTTATGAATACATTCAAGAGAATGTTTTAAAGTTTTTTATCCAGCATATTTTGTTGTTTTCAGTGGGAGGTTTATTTCAAGTGCCTAATCCACCATGTTGCTGTAAACAGGAGCACTTCTCTCTTTATTTTTAATTTCTCAACTACAGTATATGCTTCTTGAGAGGACTGACCATGCCTTGAACTTCCTTGGCCTTCTATATAGTTCAAGGCTCAGTGTTCGGTGGACACGCAGTTAAACATGTAGATAGGTAACTTGAAAACATCTTTCTAGGGCTTCTAGTTTACATATTTTATGTCTATTATAGTTTGTAATCTTCCCAATTATGTGGTGAGGTAGGTATGTTATTATTACTTCTGTTTTACAGATCAGTAAACCAAGACTTGGAGGAAGAATCGGGACACTAATCTAATTAATATGGCTAGGATTTGGATTAATGACCTTCATTCATAATTCTGTTTTCTTTTCTCTATGTCATGTTGCTTTTTAAGTAATGTTGACATTTGACATTTTCTGATAACTTTGTCTAGGTATGGAAATTCTAGAGAAACCACTGGATTAGTAATATCTACCTGAAATTATCTCAAAATTCTCACCCGAAACAAATTTTTAGCTGAGTTTTCACTTAAGGTTTCATCAGTGACTTAAAACAGTATATTAATTTCTGTTGCAGGAAGCAGACAAATAAGAAAAAAAATTGCTCTTTCTTGCTGTTGTAGCATTGTGACATATTTTTGTTGTAAAGATTAGATAAATTTTGTCTTTTCCAACAGGTGTGTATGTAATATAGATTGCAGTGGATACAGTTTTAATCCCGTGTGTGCTTCAGATGGGAGTTCCTATAACAATCCCTGTTTTGTTCGAGAAGCGTCATGTATAAAGCAAGAACAAATTGATATAAGGCATCTTGGCCATTGCACAGGTAAAATTTATCTTACATATTCAAAGACCTATCTTAATATTATATGTCTGGAATCGTATTTTTACATTTTGTTAGTATTACAAATTTGGAAAATGAGAAATCCTTGAAATTTTATTTTCTCTTGTTATTACATATTTTAGAATGTCTTTGTTCTATTAATAGTTTATATCTTCTTTTTTTCACTTACTTTCATCTTCTCAAAAAATGAAACCATACTTCTTGGTCTTTTAGCTACTAAGCTGATCCTAGCATGGAATTGTAGATAAATTTATAGTTCTTAAAGGTTTGAGAATTAGCTTATTTTAATTACAGAGCCCTGGTGTCACAGTGGTTAAGAGTTGGCTACTAACCAAAAGGTCAGTAGTTTGAATCCATCAGCTGCTCCTTGGAAACCCAATGGGGCAGTTCTACCCTGTCCTATAGGGTTGCTAAGAGTCTGAATAGACTTGTCGGCAACAGGTTTGGCTTGGTTTATTTTCATTACAGCAAGACTATTTATAAAATGTTATCATATATTTCTCCATCTTTTTTTCTAGAGTGTAGTAGTTTACTTTGTTGTTACATTATCCCTGTAGTTTTTGTCCATACGTATTATGTGCTATTGCAGATTTTGGTGTAAAGTTATAGAATGTAAGGAAAAATATTACCTTCAGTTTAAAATTCTGTTTTCCCCTTCTTGCTTTTGTCCTAGCTTAGAACCATGATACCACTAAGAATTGGTTTTAGTTTTCCACTCTTACTAGAAATAGTTACTAAAGCCACAGGTTCTCAACCTTCTTTCCTTAGTAATACACGTATGGGCTGGGATAATGTATTATTTCCTCATAGCACACCTAGGCCAAGCACTCTCTCATGTGCTAGGGTTGTCCACTTCCTTACTTACTAGATCTAACCATCCCCCACACCGCACGCATTTAGACTTAGCTAAGGGGTATGTTTTTATCTGAGCTAAGGGAAAAAATGTTGTAAGCCAAAGTTTGGTACTTTATATTGTTAGCAAATTATTTATACAACTGATTGCAATCCCTCTGGTCTAAGCTACCAAAGAAGCCCACCAGAGGATTTCCAGGTAGGGGCTGGGTGTGACACGATAGAGGAAGTCATTTGCTGATAGGGATCCCTTGCAGGTAGATATTACACTTAGCTTTGATCTTGAAGTGTAGGTTGTTTTTCTTTCATAGGGTGGCATCTAGAGCCTAGGAAGGACAGTTTAGAGAGAAAATATCTTTGATGAGAAACTGTTGCATGTATGAATGGTATTCCCTGGAATTTCAAATTCAGAGTAGTTGGCTAAGCTTGAGAAATTTCTTAAATTCACGCAGACTTAGATTCTGTCTGAGTAGTTGGTCCTTACCTTTTGTCTTAGTTCTCTCTATATTTCCATTCACACCTAACTGTGCCTTCCATTTACCTCCCAGAAGTATTTTCCTTTGAAAACAAATATACAGAACTAAAAAAGAGGAAGCTTTCCAAGTGAGAATTTGTAGTGAGAAAAATCACAGAATTGTCATGTGTGAAGCTTTCATTGAATATAAGATGAAAAAAATTGAGTTATCTGGGCAAGAGAAGAAAAACAAAATTATTATTCTTGATTCATTGATACGGTTAGTACACAATGTACTCTGTATTCTATTTCTTCACATTCATATCCCTTAGAATATTTGAACATTGTCCTTGGTGCAGAAAATGTTCTTCAGAACTTAAACAGGGTTAATTTTATGAATGAACCGTTTTAACTTCTAACAAGTAGGGAGTGCCTAGGACACCAGACACTAGCTTGGATTTTAAATTTTAGTTTTTTTTTTTTTTTCACATTTAGAAGGAGTGGCCTGTGGGCGTAGGAGGGTAGAGAGAAGTCCTTCTAGACAGTAAGCGCTTAAGGGTATCATGGAGCCCTGGTGGTGTAGTGGTTAAGAGCTGAGTCGCTAACCAAAAAGTTGGCAATTTAAATCCATCAGCCATTCCTTGGAAACCCTATGGGGCAGTTCTACTCTGTGCTATATGGTTGTGATGAGTCAGAACCAACTCGATGGCAGGGGGTTTGGTTTTTTATTTAAGAGTATCATATCAGCTCAACTTACTTAAATTGGTATCAGTGCCTTGCTTTTTCCCAGGAATCTGGAAAGTTTTAAATGAAGCAAGGCAATTTAAGCTACTGCTTCAGCTACCCAGTAAACCGTCTTCTGTATGAACTATATAAACTATTTTGAAAATAGCCATTATACTATTAATTGCAAAAATCCATTAATAAGTATCTTTTATCCTCTATGCATCTTGATGATTATACAACTGAGGTGGTCCACAGATGTTTTGTTTAGCTCTTACAGTGATTAAAAAAAGAAGCTTTAGTTGGTTGTCAAACATTTAAATTTTTGATTTGATAAAAAAACCATGAATCATATAGTGTTTGTATCTGGGATACCTTGAGTTCTGAAACAGAAATGGCTCGCTTGATCAAGGGAATTGTGGAAAATGTGATCAGGATAAGTGGACAGAGAGTTGGGAAGGACATGGTACATTTGGAATACCAGGGAGTTCCATGGTGTGAATGAAATGTTTTATGTATCTTAATTTGAAAATTATTTTCTCTTCTAGACGCAGATGACACTAGTTTGTTGGGAAAGAAAGATGATGGCCTACAATATCGACCAGATGTGAAAGGTACTGAATCCTGATTTTCCAAGTTTTGGCCAAACTATTGAAATACGCTCACTAACTGCCCTTAGTAGTTTTATTTCTATTATAACACCTTTCCAACTTTTCTCTCTGTAAAAATACACATTATGCAGTTGATTATTAGTAATATATTAGCTGAAACATCTAAGATCTCTGTTTACAGAGTTCTCTCATGTATGTAGTTTTTAAAAATTTTTTTTATTGTTGTAATTAAATGAAGTTTACATTTCAAGTTAGTCTCCCATACAGAATTTTTTTTTTTTACATACATTGTTTTGAGACCTCAACTGCTCACCCCATTCTGCGACAGCACACCCCTCCCTTCCGCCCTTGATTCCCCACGAACGTTCAGCCAGCTTCTAACTCTCTCTGCCTTCCCATCTCACCTCTGGACAGAAGCCGCCCTTTTGGTCTCGTGTATCTACTTGACTAAGAGGCACATTCTTCACAAGTATCACTTTATGTCCCACAGTCCAGTCCAATCCCTGTCTGAAGAGTTGGCCTCGGAAATTGGTTTAGTTCTGGGGTGATAGAGAGACCAGGGGCCATGCTTTCCGGGGCGCCTCCAGTCTCAGTCAGACCATTAAGTCTTCTTACTAGAATTTGAGTTCTGCATCCCATCCTTCTACTGCTCCATCAGGGACCCTCTGTTGTGTTCCCTGTCAGGACGTTCATTGGTGGTAGCCGGGCACCATCTTCATGTATGTATTTTTTAACAGAAATTTGTGTTGAGATAATTGTATATTCACCTGAATTTGTAAGAAATTATACAGAACGATACCTTATATGTGCTGTTTTAATCCCCTTTATTTCTCTAGAATTTACTCTTAACGCTTACCCTCTGTGCGCAGGTCTTTGAACTTTGTTAACCTCTGCCTGGAGCTCCTCCCTTTTTTGCCTAATTCCTACTCATCCTTCCAGTCTCAGCTTAAAAGTCATTCCCTTTTGGGAAGTATTTCCAGTGGTTAGGGAACAAATTCTTGCCTTCCACGCAGGAGACCCGGGTTCGATTCCTGGCCAGTGTGCTCCATGTGCAGCCACAACTCTTTGTCAGTGGAGGCTTGCATGTTGCTATGATGCTGAGCAGGTTTCAGCAGAGCTTCCAGACAAAGACAGACTGGGAAGAAAAGCCTGGCAGTCTACTTCTGAAAATCAGCCAGTGAAACCCTATAGACCACAACGGTGCTATCCACAACCAATCGTGAGGGTGGCATGACTGGACAGTGTTTCATTACATTGTTCATAGGGTTTCCATGAGTCAAAGGCTGACTCAGCAGCAGCCAATAAGTCTTGATTATGTTACTCTTACATATTTTCCTAACCTAGCATTTAACCAGGAGTCCTGGTAGCACAATGGTTAATCGCTCAGCTGCTAACCAGAAAGTTGGTGGCTCGAACACACCAGCTGCTTCTTGGGAGAAAAGACCTGAAGATCTGCTCCTGTAAAGATTACAGCCCTAGATGCCCAATGGGGCAGTTCTACTCTGTCCAGTAGGTTTGCCATGAGTCAGAATTGACTCCACGGCACACAGCAACAACAAGAATTTAACCCATGGTGATTGTCTTTTTTACTCATCTCTGTCTCCCTCTAGCCTATGAGTCTGTGAGGACAAGGGACTATACCTGTCGTGTGCACTATTGTATCCCTAACACCTAGCAGAATGTCTGTTACATAAGTAGGTACTCCATATTTTTTGAAAGAATGGATGTGGCTCATAGAAGGAAGCTGTATGATTTATTTGTAAAAAGTCTCACTTTTAGGTCCCTTGACCTTAAGTCCAGTGCTCTTTTACACTTGTTTTCACACCTGTTAGTTTCTGTATTCTTATGCCTACTCTTAGAAATAAGGACAAATAGAAACACTGAGTCTCAATAAGATTATATTTAATTAACTGAAGCAGGTCCAGATCTTTGGACTCCTAGACCAGGATTTCCATATAATTGCTCTATCATAAGTGCATCTTCCACCCATTTAATTGGTTATACTAATGACTTTTTTTTTAAAGATATGTGATCTACCTTTTATGTCTAATTTCTAAACAATTATGTAAAATGGACATAATGGTACCTGTCTCATAGAGTTTCATAAAGATTAAATGAAATAATACATGTCAAGTGATTAGAACAGTGTCTGAAATCCTCTGAGTGCCCAATAAATGTTAGCTGTTATTTTATCATTTATCATTTAATAATATTTTATCATTTAATTTTTTTTTTTCCTTTTCCTCTTTTTTTTTTTTTTTATTGTACTTTAGGTGAAGGCTTACAGAAGAAATAGTTTCTCATGAAACAGTAGTACCACATATTGTTTTATGACATTGATTAACAACCCCACAACATGTCAACCCTCTAACTTCTCAACCTTTTTTTTTTTGGTGAAAATACACATAGCCAAAGATACACCATTTCAAAAATTTCTACATGCACAGTTCAGTGACATCGACTACGCTCTTCCAGTTGTGCTGCTATTTTCACTTAAGATGAAGGCTTACAGAACAAAATAGTTTCTCCTTTAACAGTTACTACACATGTTGCCCTATGACAATGGTTAACAATCTCACAACACATCAACAATATCCTTACTCAACCTTGGGTTCCCTATCACCAGTTTCCTTGTCCCCTTCTGCTTTCTGGCCCTTGTCACTGGACTCTGTACCTCATTAGTCCCATTTGGTTTTACGGGGCTGTCCACTCCCAGGCTGAACGGTGAACCTCAGAGATAACTTCACCACTGAGCTAAAAGGGTGTCTGGGGCCCACACTCTCGAGGTTTCTCCAGTCTCCTTTAGGCCAGTAAATCTGGTCTTTTTTTTGTGAGTTAGAATTATGTTCTACATCCTTCTCCAGCCCTGTCCAGAACCCTCTTTTGTGATCCTGGTCAGAGCAGTCAGTGGTGGTAGCCAGGCACCATCTAGCTGTACTGGACTCAGTCAGGTGGAGGCCTTGGTAGCTGCGGACCGTTAGTCCTTCGGACTGATCTTTTCCTTGTATCCTGTTCTCTTCATTCTCCCTTGCTCCCGAAGGGATGAGACCAGTGGAGTATCTTAGATGGCCGCTCACAGGCTTTTAAGACCCCAGACACTACTCACCAAGGTAGAATGTAGAACATTGTCTTCGTAAGCTGTTATGCCAATTGAGCTAGATGTTCCCCAAGACCATGGTCCCCACAGCCCTCCGCCCAGCAATTCAGTCCCTCAGGGAGTTTGGATGTGTCTATGGGGCTTCCATGACCTTTCCTTGTACAAGTTGTGCTAGTTTCCCCTGTACTGTGTACTTCATTTAATACTTTGTTACTTCTTTTGCTTGAATCATATCAAACCTGAATTAGTTACAACCCAGGAGCCCCTGAAATTTTAGCTTCTTATGTGGATACAAAGTGTTGTATCCTTTAAAATAGGAGATTGCCTGTATTCCCATAGGAAACATAATAGATTAATGCCAGTTTTATTCTCTGTACTTATAGTATTTGACCAGATTAGGAAGGCTATTTTTCAGTAAGCTCATACTTAAGGCAATTTGGGGCATTGTGTATGCCTAAAATGCTTACCTGCCCTTGATATGATCACGTGGATAATTTAGTGCCTAGGCCAGTTTTTGTATTTAATTTTAAAAGAATGTTTCTGTCATTCTCAGAGGATTTATAATTACCAAATAATTTTTTTTTAAATTGAAGTGAAATTCATATAATGTTGTTAGTTGGTGTTCAGTTGATTCCAACTCATGGCGACCCCATGTGTGCAGAGTCAAACTGCTCCATAGGATTTTTAAGGCTGTGACCTTTTGGAAGCAGATCACTGGACCTGTCTTCTGAGGCTCCTCTAGGCAGGTTTGAACTGCTATCCTTTTGGCAATGGCTAGTTGTTGATAGCTTAACCATTTGTGTTATCCAGGGACTCATAAACATACAATTAACCATTTTAAAGTACACAGTTCCATGGCATTTAGTGCATTCACAGTGTTGTGCAACCACCACCTCCCTCTAGTTTCAAAACTTTTTCATCACCTCAGAACACCACCCAGTACCCATTAAGTAATCACTCCCATTCCCTCTTCCCCCATCCTCCAACACCCACTAATATGCGTTCTGTCTCCATGGATTTGCCTATTCTGGATATTTTATACAAAAGGAGTAATATAATGTGTAAGCTTTTGTGTCTAGCTTCTTTCACTTGAGTGTTTTCAAAGTTTATGCCAGTTGTAGCATTTATCAGTACTTCATTCCTTCCTATGACTGAGTAATATTCCATTGTATGTATATACCAGAATTTGTTCATGCATTCATCTGTTGATGTACATTTGGGTTGTTTCCATCTTTTAGCTATTATGAATAATGCTGCCATGAACATTGGTAGACAAGTTTCTGTTCGACTACTTGTTTTCAGTTCTTTTAGGTATATACCTAGGAATGGAATTGCTGGATCATATAGTAACTATTTGTTTAACTTCATAAGCAAACAAAAAAATCCAAACCCACTGCCATCTAGTCAATTCCAACTTGTAGTGACCATATAGAAAGCAGAACTGCCCCATAGGGTTTCCAAGGCTGTAAATCTTTCCGGAAGCAGACTGCCACATCTTTCTCCTGCAGAGCAGCTGGTGGGTTTGAACCACTGACCTTCTGGTTAGCAACTGAGTGCTTAACCACTGTACCACCAGGACTCCTGAGAACTTCATGGAAGAGATGAAATTTGAGTTGAATCTTGAAGGATGGTTAGGATTTGAACAGAGGTCAAAAGAATATTTAAGGAGGATGTAAGATCCTGAGCAAAGGTGTGGAGGAAAACATGGTAGGATATATTGGGCAATTGTAACGAACCCCTTTTTGCTAGAGAGTAGGGGGCCTTAGAGTCAGAAGTGGAAGACAAGGCTAGAAGGATAGCTTGGGGCAGATTGTGTAATGTCTTGAATACTTTCTAGGGAATTTAGATTTTATTTGCAGGCAGTGAGAAAACATTACTATAATATTTTTGAAAAAAAAAAAAGGGA